TGCATTCAGATTTCCATTTAACAATGGTCAGGATTACTTTACGGATTGTTTGGGCATCCAGCACTCTTGAGTGCTTCCTCCCACTGTCAATTATTTTAATTTTCTCTTCTCAGATTGCATTCATTGTGCCAAAAATACATCCTCTGGGTTCCTCGCCAAATACCGTCCAAGTCAACAAACCAGAAATTTCCTGTCAACTGGAGAGGGGAAAGAAGGGAATTTCTTCAAAAGCTTAACCCAGCTTCCTTTCCTGTCTGTGTTAATATCTTTGTCGGTTCTGAGCTGTTTGAAAAGGGAAGCTGGCAAACCAAGAGGCATAAAGCAACTGTAGAAACCACAAGTAATAGATTGGCACCTTTTTTCAGCCTGTGATCATCTGGTTTGTATAGTAGATCTGGGATACATATTTGCAGGCCTATGAAGACAGGATGGATTCTTTTTCACCAGTTTAATAGATTAGCAAAGTAGGGAATCAGAGAGAAGGGAGAGGAAGAGAGATGCACCTGTAAGCAACAGCAACATCCAAGAATAAGCAACAGGTAGGCTTAGGTGTTTTCTGACTACTGTCAACTTCAATAGGTACAAGAGCTGCCCAGGATAATCTAGTCCAGCATCCTATCTCAGAGTTGCCAGTGCCAAATGTTTGAAAGTAAGGTGGAGGAATTTACTTCCCGTAAAGCATAAAACCATTTAGGCATTTTTTAGTTTTGGAAGATGGGTTTTAATATGTCTTTCCAAAATGGGGTAATTCAGACAGCTTTGGATTTCCTGGTATGTATGTATGTCTCCAGTTCCTTTTCGAACTTTGTCAGGTTCTTTGTCTTAATGACTTCTTGTGACAATAAGTCCTTTTCTGATAGTGTTCATATGTTCTTTTTCTTGATTTTGAAGCGTTTCTAAGTGCACTATTGGATTTCTCTCACCTTTTTGCTTCATCTAATGTCTCTGTGCTTATTTATTAGGAGATCAAGTTTCTTGCTCTGACTTAATTGTGCAGTCCATTATTTGTCGCTGTTTCATTTCATCCAGCGTCCTTTGTACACATATTCTGAGAGAATAATTCTCGATCTTCTTTTTCTTTACAATGCATTATTTATTATTCTCATTTGTCTCTTTACTAAGGTAAATAATCCTACTTTGCTCTGTCTAACTGCATTTAAATGTTTTTATGGGCTCCCTCTTGTTACTGTTCTTTGAAGCTCCTCCACTTAGGCAGGGCCTTTTTTGAAATGGGTTGATTGATGCTGTGCATGTACTTTGAAATAGGTTGCACAATGACATGTAATGATGCTATAAGTGTATTTTTTACAATCCCTTTTGTAAGATTTTGTGAATATATATTTTTTGTGGTTACTGAAATTAAAGCCCATACTTCCTACCGTAGCATGTAGTAGTAGTCAGTTAATCTGTTTATATTAACTAAATGTAAACATGTCATTAAAAGCTAAGAACAAAGTGTTAACAAAAAGCCCTTTGTTGTGTATAAACACACATTTTATAGCTGTGTCATCATCTAGTTTGTGAAGAAAAATCAGGTCTTTGGCAGTGAATCATACCCAGGCCTTTTCTTCAGTGTAGGTAGCATTTAAAGCCTTGTACTATATTCATAGCTCTCTTGATATAGCTCACATCCTTATATCAAGATATCCTTTGAAAAAAGTAAAATGGCTATTTTGAAAGTAAGAAATTTAACCCACTCAAGGACTAAACCCATAAGCATCTACAGATTTTCAACTAGTGCTGCAAGTATTAATCAATGAGTATTTTTTAATTTCCTACCAAATTTGCTTTGAGTATATATCTGCTTCTGCCTCATGACAAGCCAAAAGAAAAACAAACAAACCTGCAATAAAACCACAAATTAGGCAAACTGCTTATGGCAAATACATGTCTTAGAAGCTTTATATGCAAAATTACTTGTCTTTACCAAATACTTACCGTAAAGAATTTTTCCCACCAATTATTCGCTTTTGTCGACGATGTAGTAACCTCAGTCCACAAACAGAGGCAAGAGAATCTAAATCAGAAAGCGAGATGTAGACAGCATTAAACTCAAAATGAAAAGTAGCCAATCTTCAATGAGAGTTAACCAGAAAAAACACAAAGGGTGAAGTGACTCTGTGTTTCATGGCAGTTTTTAACAACCAGTTTTTGCTGGGGGAAAATACACTGAATTCTCTCAGAAATTCTTTTTAGCTGAGATCTTTTGACTGTGATCACAGAGCAATTTACACATTTGTGCCTTGCTTCTCAAGTGTGGGATTTTTTTATAGGGTTCTTCCTTACTTCATGTAAGTGGAAGCAGAGCTTGGCATACGATATAGGTCTCAGTCCTCAGCTGAAGATAACCTATACGTTGAAAAGTTGAAAGTAGCTGCCTAGTTTTTTTGCATTTTCACATCCCTCATACAACTTAACAAACATGGCTGCTGTAAACTACGGTAGATTAATGCCCTCTATCATTTGAATAGTCTTTATGATTCCTTCGCGCAGCTGCCACAGCAATAAGATCACACAGTGTAAGCAAAGAGAATTTCCCACCACTTCTGCTTCTATAATTCTTTGATATAATTGTTTCCACTATGAGGTGGGATTGCTTACGTCCGTCTCTTCCTACTGTGACAGTTCCCCATCCAAACCTGTTGGTCTGCCACTCACAACGGGGTTTCACCTTTATTGCTGTTCCCAGGGGCCTTCTTGCTTAGGTGGTCACAGATCACCCCCGCGTCCTCGCTGTGACGGCAGTTGTGCATCCCAATGTCCTGCTTAATGCAGTCTGCCAAGGATCTCTCATTTCCTGTACATTTCACGTTATCCACGTGGATCGGGCCTTTGCCCTCCCCAAAATACGCCATTGTCCTTGCTCTAGCTGGACCTCTGGAAACAGAGCATATTTTTTTATTAAACATTTTGAGGCATTATTCTACATTGTACTCAACTGAAATATTTCAGAGTGAGTAGTGAAAAACATTGAGGTTTTATTCCAAGTCCTGTCACTGGTTCACTTGATGGCAACGTTGCCTCTGTTACTCTGTAAGTAGAAAAAAAAAAAGTGTAACAAAATTGCCACGGTTCATTAATGTTTAAAAAGTGCTTTTATGTATCTAGATAGAAAGCGCTATGCAAAGTATTTTACATTGTAACGGCATTACAAATACCTGTAAAGCAAAATATGTGAAAGCTGCTTTTTCATAATCTCTTTAATCCTCATATAAAATCAGCATCTGTGAATGCTAAAAATAATTTATTCTGGTTTGATTCCCTCAGAAAGATGGGCCAGTTAAATACACTATATTTGCAGTGTAGTAGGAGCTGTGATTTACAGATCTATTAGTTCTTCATAGTTATTAACACATTTCTTTATCATGCCATTTTTAAAGTGCACCCGACGGTTGCGTTCTAAAACTGTATCGTAATTGAAGAAATTACATTTTCCCACCTTTTCCTGGGACAAACCCCATACTTTGTGCTTGTGTAGCATTTTCATACATAGGCCTCAAGGCACTTTACAAAGAAGGTCAGTATGATAATCCTATGCTTGTATAACTATCAAACCTAAGTATTTAGATGTTGGACTTAGGACATTTTATTAGGGTTTGAAGTCCTGGGCCTTATAGCTTGTATGTAGTGCCATGCAGCTTCAGCAATGACCGCAGTGTCAGTTGTGTGAATGACCTCTTTTGAATGATGAACTTGTTTCCCAAATGAGGGAGTGGATGAACAAACACAATAAAAAAACAACATGAATTGTGCACGTAAGCATCTCATTTGGTAACTTTTGTGACAGAGTATTACTTTTAATTACTTAGGATAATGTTTCTTAATATATAAACGGATGTTTTGTTGTATATGGTTTAAGAGTCAGAAAGAATTATGAGTGGGAGACCACCCAACCGGCTATATAGAGGAGTGGGGCAGAAAGCCACAGCCACCTCTAGGTGTGTCTGAACTACAAGTTTACATATCAGTTAAGAGCAATTTACTGATATTTTATTGTGGTAAGAATATACGGAATTCTAGATAACTGAAATGTTGCACTATATCATAGGATCCATTTTAAAGGATATCTTATAATTGCATATTGTGAAGGACAGTACTTCTATGTATACAAAAGGGTAACTGTGTACAGTGAAATGCTGGAGTAGAGAAAGAGAGTTTAACAATGAAAATGTATTAGCAAGAAAGTGTTTCTCTCCCTTTAAACCTCTTTTTATACCTCTCTTAATACCCGCGGTGTTGGGGAACATAGGTGAGAATGGCATAAAGAATTTATGTCCCTTCATCAGCTAGGGATTCTCTGTTGGGGAGGAATTTTGATCTGTCATACCATTTTCAAAGCTTCTTCATACTAGAAGCGTGGCTGGATCAAACTCAAAGAATCCAGCCCTCAATTGCCCATATCCATATAATTGAAACGTGAAAGTAATACATACAAGCTTCCTCCTTTTTCAAACTTGCACATAGAAAGCCTTGCCTGTTTGGATTTTTTTATTATGTACTGAAAGGTAGGCGGCAGTTTTCTAAGTAGGGAATGTTGGTTAGAATGCATGAATTGTAAAAAGCCAGGAAAGAGAAGCATGTAAAACATTTGACAGAGATGATACCACAAGGTTAACTGTCCTTACACATTTTTAATTTCCATGGCTAGCATGTATTTCCCAGATAATCCAAAGCCTTAACTGACTTTGGAACCAGTATAGGACAATCTTTGCCTAATGATTTAACTTGTCAGTCACAAGCAACGCGTCTCTTCTTGCCTTTGTGAAATATTTTGCCTTTGTGAATGGTTCTCTGATTACAGGTAACTACGAAGAAATGTCCAGCTCTCCAGTACCTGTGGGCAGCTGATGTGTTCATGTATGCTATTACAAAACAGTGAGACAGTACAGGCATTCATTGCAAATTCTTACCTGGTTTTGGTATCTCTGTGTCAAACAACAAGGTTTCTGCTTTAGGGCATTGGTCTAAAGTTCCTCAGGATATTGAAAAAAACTTTGTTGTGAATCACCACAGTATTCTTAGCCTTTCCCAGAGAAGTATTTATTGCAGTTTAGTATAGAATTGTCTCTGCAGACTTACTGGCTACTTAGTAAGGGCACTCTCCTCCGTTAGCTTACCAGATAAATCTCAAAGAATATTCTGACATCTATGAGGTCATATATGTAAATATTTTAGGTGAAAGAGATGTAGAGAGACAAAGATGGGGGGGGGGGGCGCGACTTAGTGCGTATGGATTGCAATCATGCATTGACATGAACTGAATCATGGGACTTGGACTGCAGAGACTCTTCATACCTTTATATGAAAGCTCACTCTCTCTTACTGTGCATCAGTAATCTCTCAGTTTGCTGGTAATTGCTATGAAAGGTGTCCGTACCCACTCTTAACAAAAAAACCACCACTGTTTAAATAGAACATCTGCCAGGAAACAAACGTAAAAATTGTGATGTTCTAGAGCAAGGAGTGCAGCTTAATACAGAAAATTATTTCATATAATTAGGAAATCTCTAAATGTAGAAGTGTTAAGTCTTATGTGTTTGTTACGTGCTGGAATGTGCTCTTACAGCTGGTTTTAGTCCACCCTTAACAAAGGTGTATGTGTCCCTTAATTGCTGCTTTCCAAGCCAGCTGCTTATGCACAGATGACCATCAAAGAAACAACCTTTTTGCTTGCTTAGATCTGTCCCTAGAGAGAAGGGTGGCTTCAGATCTTATCCCCTAGCTTTCTCAGACACAAGGCCATACACAATAACATGCTGAGCTCTTCAGATGCAGTATTACTATTATTCATAATACCGTTAATCAGGAAATCCAGTTAGTTAGTATAGATGACCAACTACCCTAGAACTGTTTTTTTTTCCCCCTGTAGTAGATAATTTTTGGAGCACTAGTGGCAGGATATTTGTTCATCTGTTGCGTGTGTGTTTGTACATGTGCATTCTTATAAGCCTGTCCTAAATGAAAGGAGTCTAATTTTATTGGACCACTTAATTCACTAAAATGCAAGAGCTTCTAAAACAGTCTTTTGCTCGACTCATTCTGTCAAAATACTTTTGTATGTTAAACCCAGTCACATAGTAGATAGTACTTCAGAAAAGGTATGTGTTCTCTTAGTGTTTATCTTGCTACAAATATACTTCAATTAGGGTGCTATTAATTTTTTTTATGTTTTCATGACTGGTTTTAGCCAGTTAGTAGGGCTGTTTTCTAATGTACTTTATATTATGTGTTTCTACCATTAATCATGGATTTGACAAACTGGCTTAATGAGACATCTTTAAAACCAGTATTGCTTTCAACCTAGAGATTTTGTCAACTCAGGGAATTTCTTATTTTAGTCTCATAATGAACCCTAGTAAATGGCTGAGAATGTTGCAGATTTCGTAAAATAAATGTACAGATAAGCATTGACAATATGAATAATACATGCAGGAAAAACAGTCCATTTTCTCAGTGTTTACCCTTTGCTTATGCAAGTCTTCCTTTTTAAGGCAGTCTTTTCTCCCATTTGTAATAATGAATGGGTGAATTTTTTTCCCAAGGAATGCAGTTCCCCAGTAGGAAAGACTTGAGAATTAAACATAGCATTGTAAAGGAAGTGGAATGATACTGTTTAGTTCTGTGATCAGTCTTAATGAAAACTACTGTCAACCTCAGTAGTAGGTGCTTTTTGAATTCCTCACGGGAAAAGGTCATAATGTGTTTTATTTCTAAAGAAACAAAATTCATCAGCCCTTTAGCTCAGGTGCATGAACCCAGAAGCCCCAGCCTTGCTTTGGAACAGTCAAGTCACCACTGAATATAATTTGAACTTCAGCAAAAAGATCTGTGCATCAACTCCTAGGCTGAGAAGCAATTCCAGCTCATCAGTACACGTAACGGCATAGTCAGGTTTGTGGAATGCAACTGTCTAGACATAGGGTCACCAAGATCCAGCATTTCTGACAAGCTGTCCCAATTTCTGGAACCTAATTTTAGATTTTTAAAATGTGTTTATCCCTAGTCCTTCAGGAAACATGTGCTTTGTTGTATCCTATAATCTTAACCCCCCATTCTGATGTGACACAAATTGAGAATCCAGCCAACTGTCTGTCCTTGCAGGGTTTTAAACACAGAAGGTGGGGATAAGTGGTTGAGTTTGATCATCTGAGGGAGACATAAAACAGGCCAGAGTGGCTGAGGATGAAGCAGACTAAATGAATGATTCACAGAGAGGTAACACAAGTCAAGTTTTGTAGTTCTGACGCCATAGTCTACTACTACTTATAAATATGCTTTACTAAACAAATACCAGACAATTTTTAAAAGCCATATATTATGCGTTCAGACATAATTTGATGATATTCAGTTGCACAAACTTTACGTTGTTAGATACAGCAAACAGATAACATGATCTGTATTTCTTAAGCCCAGATTTCTTTACAGATACACTCAGAGAAGACATTTCACTCATTTCCTGTTGTATTTCACTAGTGTTTTGGATATTTTTCAGCTCATATTAGTTCTGCTATTTATATGTCTGCCCTATAGTTATTATATCTTTACTGCTTGTAGGTATCCAGAAAAAAAATTGCTTATGAGTGATGTAAGCCTGATTAAGCAACTTAGTTCAAAAGTGACACATATACGTTGTGGTGATTTTAATTAGAGGGTGGTTTTGCCCTGTCAGGTCTATTCCTGTATTAAATGAAGCTTATTCGAATTACTGTCATGCAGGCCGAAGCCATAATCCTTTGTATAACAGTTTTATCAAATCTCCAAGCTACATCGAGTCAAGCCAGATCAGTAAATGAAGGAAAAAAAAGGTGAAACTAGGAATTCAGTAGGTGGTGTGCCTACATCTGAATCTGCAGAAATCATATCCACACCTTGTGGTGGTGGACAGTGACCTGTTGCTATATTTCATTGAAAACTGTAACAGTTACGTTAGAAGCTATAAGGATTGCAAAGTCATCATTAAGGTTCACAAAATATAAATATTAACAATATGGAAAATAATACCTTTCAATGAAAACAGTTCAAAAGCTTTTTGAAACAATACAACCATTACCCCTGAAATTTTAGCCAAATTCCAGACAATTTCAGTAAACTGTGGTAAACCAAGTCTAGCTTCTGAATATTCGTGTATTCTTTGCTAATGTAATGAAAAAGGCGTTTTAAATTCCCCAAGGTTTTTCTATGTATACTGTTACATCAAATCGCTAAAGCACTAGAATTTCAGTTCTTTTAAGTTTTTCTGTGTTGACTAAAGATGACTCAATATAGAAATTGTTATATGAATGAAAATTGTCACTTAAGTGTGGTGAAACACAGAGCTCTCACACAAAATCAGAAACAAAACAGAGAATCTACATAGTTCACAGAATATGTAATCATCTGTGCTAGTCTAGATGTTAGTATTAGTTTCCCTCATTTTTTCCAAATTAGAAATTTCACTCTAACTTTTTAAAAACGTTTAGAAATCTGAAAGCTGAAGGTGAAAGAAGTAAATTAAGAACAGTTCGAGTGGCAAAGAGCATAGAGCAGATACACTAAATCAAATTCTCAGTTACATTAGTGCAACTAAGTGGGAAAAAAAAAAAAGCCAAAAAATTGGTGTAATATGTTTATATCATATAGACATGTGGCACCATAAATGACAAATAAAATACAGTATTTAGTCAATAGCTTAATAATTTTGAATATTTAACTTCTAAAAAAATATTGAATAACTAGCATTAACTTGCATTTCAGTTGCCAGTCAAACTGACATGCCTTTGAATATTAAAATTCCTTTTCCCAGTTATGCTAGTTAATGAATACTCCTTTTGAAGACATAGCCTTACTACTTCTTATACAACTATAAATACACTTTTCTAAAAAAATGCCAAACAGACAAGTTTTAAAAGGCATATATTGTGTTATCAGACATATGTTAGTGATATTCGGTTGCAGAAACTTAACATTTTTAGATACAGCAAACAGATAACTTGAGAAACAGCTTAATGAGTTTTCTTACTTGTAGCCAAGCTGTCGACAGACTACAGCTGCATCTTTATCAGACCATCCATCATCACAAATTGTGCCCCACTGGCCATTGATAAAAATCTCTACACGTCCTTCCTTCTTATTCTCACCATCCATCAGCCTGATGGGAGGACCTGGGAACAAATTATTGCTGTCAACTCACAACAACAGAAGCAAGAACTAGTACTTTAAGTCATTCTCATCATGTTTAGTAAATAGGGTCAACTGATGTTTATGTTCAACAAGCCTAATATCAGCTGTTAAAGTAGTCATATTTTTCCTGGCTGGCAAAAGGAAGCAGTTTGTACAAATTATGAGACAAATATGAAATACTACTGTATTTTGAACTTCAGAGTTCATCTGCTACCTTCATTTCATACAAATATGTGACATAGCTCAGAATTTGACCACAATGGGCATAGAACAATTCCCCCTAAAGGCAGAAAACACCCGCGATATCTTTTATATGATACCCATACAAGCTGGACACATTTTCCTTGCAGAAACTTTATGGGTGAATTTAACTGTATCTCCATTCACAAATCCATTCTCAAACTGGTTGCTACCGCTCCTCTTAACCACTGCCTCGGCAAAAAAGTGCAGCATTGTGTTGTACTTCAGTTATTACTTATCGTTATGCATGGTGTTCTGTAGCGTATTTTGTGTGACAGCATAATGTTCTACAGCATGTTATTCTAGACTAATGTGTGATTGTTTTTCTAGCAATTTAAATTGATTGCTTATTCAGATATGTTTGTAATACAAAATCTCACTTGTGTGGATTAGTCAGACTTAATTAATCATGGTTCATTCCGTGCTTGGCCTGTAATTATTTTTGAATCATTAAGCAAAGTACATATTTGATTCTCACTTATGTTAAAACTCCTTTATAGCATGCCAGCAATGCAAGTAGCCTTAAAACAGTTATGAATTCCTCTGAGGCCTCTTCATAATGTTAAAGTGAGAATCACCTTCTAAATCTTTTAGTATGTCATACTTCATAATCCTTAATACACTAACGAGAGTTTCTTTTTAGAATAATTGCAAAGCCCGTTCCTCATTCTTCTAACCTGTTTCTAATCTTTTCTAAATCTGTAAGGATGAGAAATTACTTAATTACGCTCTTAAATAAAGCAGCATTTTGAGACATTTGCATTTGATATTTAATTCAGATTAATTTAGGGTATGAATAACTTTTGTATACCAAAACTTACTCTGGATCAGAGCTAGTTAAATCTGGCCTAATTAATTAATTAAAAGAGGAAAGATTTGAAAACAAAATTAAAGTCTGTTTCCTTCAAATGCCATTTAAAGTGTATTGTTTATACTGGAATTCATACTGTCTGGACAGTTACATGAATTAACTTTACCAATTTTCTGTTTAGCTACATTGTCATGATCTTACCTACTGAGCAAATGTTGTTGTAGTTATTGTAGTGTAATCTATCTCATTTTTAGGGTTTCTTAATGTCTGTATTTTGTCAAGTCATATCATCTACTAATTTCTCATATTTTTCCACTGAATTAATCCTTACAGGGAGAAAAAAGGCTTTTTCAAATGCTGGGAAGTAAATAGTAGCACTAGAGTCTTTGTCCACTTTCCAATCAGAAATCTTGTAGGAAACATCAGATACACTGTCTTCATTTTCTTGTTGAAATGATGTGTTATTCTGGAAGAATATGATTTAGGTAAAAATTATACTTACATTACCCAGCTAGAGGCATGGGATATTAATGATACAGTATAGCTATTTTACTGTTATCTCATCTTCCTGCGCTTTAGAATATATATATATATATATTTATGAGCACAAAATTAATATAACTTTCTGGTAATGGGGGATGTGAGAATGTTACCATATGGATGCATTTAACTGAACCAGACCTCCTTCAGCTAAGATTATATTTTATAGGAATTTGAGCTAAGCAGCACAGATGGTTTGCATCTGTAAAGACAGCAGTCATGATTTGAATTCCTGTTATTTTTGGTCTGAGAAAATTCTTTCTACCAAATGTGATTTGACATCATCTACACATAATGGAACTGTACTGCAACATAAAACATTCATTGGATTGTGAGAGGTCAAAAGGCTGTAAAGAAAAAGACTATGGAGGGAGAGACTAGAAAAGTACATGTGGAAGTGCTCATTGTTGTTATAACAGGTAGCAATGTCATGCAGTAAATCCATGTCTTAGTTTGCAGGATAGACCTTCAGTCTATGATTTCCAGAGAACTTCAGGCACCCGGCATACAAATCCCTTACATTTCAGTAGAAGCTGTGAATCCAGCTCCACTAGTTATAAATCTAATTTCAAAATTGCCTAAAAAAAACTTGGGTAAACTAAAGAATATTGGCAACAATTTTGTAAGAGGCTACCTACTGACAAGCTACAAACTTCGTATGTAGCAAAACTTTAAAAATGAAACTGTTTTTCAGAATTGCTGAGCAGCCCGTTGTTCCCCTGTAATTTTTACTGTGCATCTCTGATAGCCAGAATTCTTGTGTAATTATCTACATGTGGATTTAGGAATCTTTGGAATTCATTTGTATATATTTTGTTCTACAGTGCCGCTATGTAATTAGTACTTTTCTCTCATTTCTTACCTGTCTTTTTATTCTTTTTTCATACAAGTTTGTAGGCTTTTTGACATTGGAACTGGCTCTTTGATCTGTGTTTGTAGCATCATTCTGTCCTGGTCAGCAAGTGGGGCCCATTCACCCAGGCACAATAAAAATGATAGGCAATAGTAATACAGAAATAATTTCATGCTTCTCACTCTTCCTTTTTGCTATCTCTGAACTTCCCCTCTTTCTCCATATCTCTTTTTTCAGACTGTCAGGATGTAAGGCCATAGGAGGATATACTATTGATTTATATTCCTCAGTGCTCGGGTATGGCTCATGCAACAGCATGAGACAGTTACTTAAAACTTGGAGAGTGCTGCATGAAATGCAGTATACCATTAGGAAGTGCTGAATAGGTCTAAAATGTGGTGAAGATTGAGAGAACAGGATCTCTGGAATCTGATTTTGTTACCTTACAAATTTGTGTTGATCTTTAGTGTTCTGGCTATTTACATTCCTTTACTTAAGTATACTATACTTTGCTCAGATCTGCATCCACCGCAATACTCATACTGTGACTTTACCAAAGAGGTGCTTTACCAAGTGAGAGTTTATGGCTGTCGTTATCTGGATGGCAAATGAGCCTGACATCCTCCTGATGGTTGCAGTCATGCTTTCCCCACTCTCTCCTTGAGCATTGCAGAAGGTTTGTCTCCTTCCCTGAGCAGCTGACATCATCCAACCAGATGGGCCCAGAGCTTCCTTCTGAGTAGCTCTCAGGTGTGCTTTTTCCATACCTGCATAACACATACGTATACATAACATGTTGGTCCCCAGTGATCAGAGGGCACGTGATACTTAAGCACTAGGAAGGAAATAAATTATTTCTGAAGAAATAAAGATTTCTCAAGTAGTAACAGTAAACAGTGTTAAACATGACAGAGCAGGTTCAGTTAGCATTAAACTCAATAAGAGTATCATATGCTGCTTCTTTGGTAATGTTTTTTTAAGGAATTACTGTTACATTAATACAAACTTGAGAATGTAACACCTTTGATTAAGGCCTCCCTTCAACTAAGCATATGGCTGTCTCACTGACTTTGAGACTTAAAGCATGTTCTTAGTATATATACATTTAAACGTCACAGTCTGGGGAAAAATGAGACAAAATTCTTTTTTGAATGTGAGCTGTTACAATCTGAAGGCAAGACAACAATCACCTAGTGAGAGTGTAACTGTGTAGCCACAGTCAGTACGAAAAGTAGCGAATGCAAGAAACCCTTGAGATTTTTTCTAAAATATGCTTTTCAATAGATAACAGTGTTCCAGGGCCAGACTGTGGGGTTTTCTGAGCTAGATCCAGAAGGACTTATTCCTTGAAAATGTCTGTGATTTTTAATGACTGTTTGACAAGCAAAGATTTTGAAGAATCAAACTTTTATAGGCAAAATAGAATACAACAAAACAGTTTTTCTCTATAGCATATGCACTGATCTCAGTTAGCCAAAAAGATGATTGGAAGGAACTCTGTAAATAAACGCTGCTGAATCACAGCCTCAGTTGAAGCTTTTTCTTCTGCCTAAACTGAGGCCATAAATATCTCTTTGAGACTGAGGGAAGCAGGCTTTAATGGATTTTAACTCAGCAGTTTCTCTGAAGCACTCAGCTAATATTAAAAAAACAGACTCTTGAATAACGTAGGGTTCATGTAAATGTTTGTCATCATTGTCAAGTCAGAGTCAGATATCTAATATCAAGTAATCTTACTTAAATCCCAGCTGCCGGCACACCACCTGTGTATTCAGCTCTGTCCACCCATCATCGCAGATTGTGCCCCACTGCCCAGTATAATAGACCTCCAGGCGTCCCTCATGACTGCCTTTCCCACTTGTTAGTCTTAATGCACCATCTGTGTCATTAACAAGTAAGGAAAAACAAAAACAAGAATCAGTTTTTCTTAGGTCCAATTATTGTTCTAAAACAAAATTAATAACATTACATTTACTGCATCTGATCAGAATATTAGACTACTAAATCTAGTGCTGACCACTAGGTGTTATTTAATGAGAAGATCAAAGAAATGCCATAATGCACCCGGTCAGCTGTGAAGTGTTGCGTAATGCAATTGCTTAAGCGCAAGAGAAATAGCACAAGATACTGATCCCCCAAGCCCTTATTATGTGCCAAGTCCACAGGAGTGGGTTCTGATTACGTGATTTCACTGTATATACACCTTATCTTTTTCTTTGTATATTCTGTTATTTCCCATTGCTTTTACGCTGAATTGCTTACTGCCATTGATAGATGTGATACACAATTAAGGCAGCCCCGCCTAGTAAGTGGCAGTTAGCATGTTCCTGAGGAACCAAGGCTTTATGTTGAATAATGAGATTTTCTGCACCTGTAAAATTTCCATAGCCAACAGCTGGTTCATTTTGATACTGCCAGAACACTTTATTACTGTGGGGTTTTGTGCGTCTGCAAACTTTAAAAATTCTCTTTCTGGAGCTGTGAACTCTGCATTCGTCACTGTTTTGCTGCGTGATTATTGTTAACTGAAGTACCTGTGACAGGTGTGCAGGAAACACCAGCGTCTTCTTTGTGACCACAGTTGTGTTCTCGCCAGGAGCTTTTTGGACACTGTTCTATAGACAGTTCATTTCCCGTGCACCGCACTTCATCCAGGAGCACAGGGCCTGAGCCTTCTCCAAAGTAAGCCTGGCTCCATGCCTTGGCAACACCCCTGTCGAAACACAACAAACACCCAGTCAAGAACAAGCAAGCCGAAGAGTCTGGGACTCACTAGGAAGAGCTAAAATGCTGAATAGCCAGCTTCTAAAATAGCAGATGGGACTGCCTAAATAGCCACTGCACTGGTAACTGACAACACAGCCCGCATTATGTCATGTCATGTCATGGGATGTGGTTCCACAGTCAACTTCAGTCTCAGCTGAGGCTGTGGAGCAACGTAAACATACTGTTTCCACACTTCCACGGTTTGAACATATTTAGAACATCAATTTCTATTGGTTTGTATCTATGACATTTTCCTTTTCTGTCCCTTTTGATTTTTAAGCATAACTTTCCTAGAAGAGATTATGGATGTACAGCTTGGGTATGAGGATTCTAATTTTAATTTCATTTAATATTTATATGTAGTAAAAATAATCCGATATATATTTCTACAGTGACTTTCATCTGTTGTCCTCAAAGCACATTAATCAAATCTCAAATACCCAGATGAGGCAGATAAAAGTGATTGTTCCCCATTTAGTCATGTAAAAACCACAGCAAAGAGATCTTAAGTGACTTGACAAGTCATACCACCAATCAGTGGTAGAAATAAGAACAGAAAGCAGATCAATGACTCGCCTTGTGTGTGTTACACTCTTTATGTCAGCGTAGAGGATTTTGAGCGCAAAAACCTACATCAACTGAAAATGGTCCATTGTTTCAGCATTACAGAAATTATGCAGTGTTTAACACTTGATGATCTATCAGGATTTTTCCAGTTCTATTTAGGATACCATGTCTTTCATATGTAAATGTTTTTCATGGTTTGGTTTCTTTCAGCTCAATAGTTTCTCTGTTCATATATCCAGTCTAGTTTTTATAGGAGTATTCTCAATATCTGTCGTCTTTTTCAACTTGTAAGATTGAAATGTCTATCTAAATTTTGTACTATAGTGAATTACCTATCTAAAGGATTAGTTTAAATTAATTAACATCCTGTTTGGGTGCAGGGCTCTATACTGATTATTAATTTGCTTTAAAGAGAGTTTTCCACTACCTGCCATATATTGTCATGCAACACCTAACAGGAATGGCATGTTCAGCTTATACTGAAAATATGACAGGTCTTGACTATTTTGTTTTGGGATGTAATCATCCAAACTTTTTAACTGGCCTTTGTAACTGTGTGTCAGAATAGTACACTGCTGTGATTTTTTTTTTGTTTGTTAATGTAAGTTGCAGTAGTTTATGTTTTTAAGGCACTGACTCATTAGTCCATGTATGGATTTAGATAGATGTGGATTTCATTTCTAGTGCTTTGTATAAATACGTAACAATCTCTGTTCTCTCCTTTTTTTAAAAGGAAAACAATACTAAATTTACAACTAGCAATCATAAAAATTCTTGATAAACAGTAAAGGGATATGGGAAAAATGACAACAGTAAGGCTTATAAAAATGAAATTAGGATCAGGAAAAAATTCTATACAAAGGAAGGATGTGGAAATTCATGGTAGATGCTGTGTAGATGGTAATGCTCAGTAAATAAAAGCACACACAAGAAAGGTAAATTAAATAATCTGTGTTTTGCATTTTCATCTTGTTCAAAATCAACTTGTTTTTAATATTTTCAAGCTAATGTGCTTCATTAATCTTGAAAATGCACTTTTAATTTTCAGACTGTTTCTTTGATGACCAGATGCCTTCTTCAAGTGGTGGAGAACATGGAAAATATAAAAAAGCAGGTCTTACTTACTCAGAAGGGAGAAGACTTATAATCTTCAATTGCTTCAAAGAAGCAGGTAAGCAAACCAAAAATATCCTCACTCAGCAGGCAACATTTTAGCAAAACACATAGCTTCAGTCTGAAGTTATTACCTTATTTTTGAGAGAGATTTTTAATGAGATATTACCTTTTCTTCTGAATGACTTTCCTAATTCCAAATAACATATTAACAGATATCTTGGTCTAATTTTTTTCCTTTAGCAATGCAAAGAAGAATTTTAATAGATTGGAAATTATATTTTCCCCTGAGATTTGCAAACATCTCCTGATTGCCCTTACTATTCTTTCATTTAGTTTGTTAAGTAACCATGCATTTTTATGTGTAGCATTAATTTACTGAACACTTGTATTTTGCAATGCTGGTAACGCAAAAAAGAGCCAAGTCCTCCATCTCTTGTATTTCATAAAGAGCTGCTTTTTGAACTGGTTGAATGACTATATAGGAAACTAAGAAAATATAATCCATAGGATACGCTACGGGTAATACTTATTTCAAATCTAGGTATCCCATTTATATTTAAGCATCTAAATAAATAAAGATGCCTTGGGTTTCCAGTGTGTCTTTCTGATGTACCACGATGGGCTCTGTGAGTTCTCAGCACTTCAGGCTATTTTTGTAGAATTGAATAAATATGGACTGAAGAGCCGACTTTCAGGATCCTTATTTTTATTAATATTACCCCAAATATATTATAGGCTTATTACAGACAGCCTGGTTTACTGGTAGTTTTTAAGATGATTATACTTTGGAACATTTATATGTAGAAGATAAATTATCTTCATTTAAGTTTGCTGAGTAGCATTTGCATATATACAAACTTTACACAAAAAGAAACTTTTCGTACATAGCTTCCATTTCTTGTATTTTTTAAATTCTGATGCTGGTACAAATGTATAGAAAAAAATCCTTATTCATTAAGAAGCTGGCAGAAATCAAAGAGAGAATGCTTGACTACTCTGAATGTTGAAAACCAAATTATACCATAATCTAGTAAGATTCTCTGACATTCCGATAAAGCAGAGACGACATATCCCATTGCTATAACAAGGGCAATTTGTATCAAGCAAAAAGTATTTATGAAACCAAATAATAAAATAAATTATCATTTTTCACCTATTAATGGTAGATTAATATTCTGAAGTTTTATAGGAGTGCTACAGAAAAGTTGAAAGGATGTGGGATACTGAGATGCTTTACTTTTACAATTTGTGGCACATTTCCAGACGGATTAACACTATGCAAATTTAGATTATTTTTATTACTTCATAACCTCTCTAGTGCCACTGTTGGTAAAATTGCACTTCACAGTAATGAGCACATTTTTCAAGGCATTTTGATTACTTGAGAAATTCTGTAAATCTCTAGACATATTTTTAAAAGACTTATCACCATCTTAATACAATTTATTTACTCAGAAAAACAAATCAAATTAGAAGCATCTCGGAACTGCAGTTTCTGAACATTAAATATAAGTAATCAAATGTTTTACTGTAATCAGTAACGAGGCAGGTTAAGAGCATGACATTTGTCATTAGTATATAGAAATGTAAAACATAGCTTACAAGCTCCCCAAACTTATTAATAGTGGCCCAATTCAAAAGCAGAAAAGGCCTGTAAGAAGACAGACTTTCTATTAGGTATTCCCAATTGAAAATGTACTGGAATATAGAAATATAGCAGAAAATAAATTGTGGGAAAATGAAAATCTGATGTCAGAGGAGCATGTTGATTCCCACATGGCTCACCAGGAGATCTAGAAGCTTTTTAAGTACTGCACAGTTCTCATCCTTTGGAGCTAATTTGGATGGCACCAGTAGTCCAAGGCCTCTGCTTCACGTTACAAAACAAGTATACTCGGGGGGCCACCCATTAATGCCACAAAGCTCGCTACCTTCAATGCCACTTCTTTTAATTCATCATAATCCCAGCAGGGTTGACCAGGTGAGTTCTGTTCCAGTCTCCTCTGCGCTGACCTGCTTAGTTCTCATCCAGTCTGTCTCAGACATAATCCCCTTTTCCTCCTTGGGTTTACATCTTAGTATCTTTGCATCTTGCTCCTAGTTCTTTCCCTCTTCAGCCCATCTGGCCTTTCATCCCAGTTGTCCCCATCTCCTTCCTCTCTGATCCAGCAGTTCTCCTCTTTGCCTCCCACTTCTGCAGCATCTTTCCTCAGATACTGAATAGTTATCTTCTATGCGGTATCAAAATCACCCCCGGCTGTTCAGAAGAGGAGCAAGAAAATCCTGTTCTGCTGCTGTGACTATATTGTGGACCATGCTTAGTTCAGACAGAATCGCTGACAAGCTTAACTGTCAGAACTTCAAACAGATCTCTACTCAGTATATGCAAACTGACAATCTTCAGAGACTCGTTACATAAACAAATCTTGAGAGATTCTCACAGGCATGCCAAAAACCATATCCTTTCTGACAAAGTAGTGCTCTTACTCTAAAGCAAGGAAGCCGTTAGACTCCTCGGTAAAATGGATGTAAGGATTTTAACAGTCAAAGCAACTTCCTTTTCTTCACATAGGGTTTTTGATTGAAACTTTACTGAAATTGTAGTGAGTTTTCACTAAAAAGTCAGCATTTATTCTGAGACACATCCTTTGTCTGTCCTACAGACAAAATTGTCCCTACCATATGACACTGAAAACTGGATCCTATAAATCAAAGTGCCAGGGACTTGAAAGTATTGGCACTGTACCTGAACCTTCTATAAATAAACTTAGTTACTGCTTCAGAGTATTAATGCGATTTTAAAGGAGCATCTTTTGACAACTCCAAGCTATGTATCTGGCTAACTCTCCTGCTTTGCTGCTGGAGTAGAAAATATGTAGAAAAACAAACCCAAGGCCCAGCTGCCGACAGACGACTTCAGCATCTGCATCATCCCACTGGTCATCGCAGACAGTCCCCCACTGGCCAGCATGGTAGACTTCTACTCTTCCTTCGTAAGCGTTGTTCCCACCAGCCAGCCGGACTGGAGTAAAGACAGGGGCTGTGATCAAACACAGAATATAGGAAAAGGTCATTTCTTTCCCAAAATGTTATCCTGATAGTAAAGAAAAACTAAGACGTCTCAATGGTTTCTCTGGCATCACTCAAGAACCGCACATTATTTTTTCTAGTTAGATGGAAAATCTGAAATTAAACTTCTTAAAAATTAGTTCCCCTAAGCTCTACTCTCAGTAGCTGAAGAATGTTACACAGACAAGTAACCATACTGAGCTGGACACATACTTAAGTGTCAGAGCATTCACAGATACTTAGGGCTGTACAATCAGTCAATAGATCTGCATTTCTACCAGTAAGAGCAAAATTGGCTCTGTATAGGCTTGGTCCCAGAGGGTAAAATCTGAATTGGGAAGCAAAAATTCTTTCATTGCCACAGAAGTAGAAATTTATCCTGTTTTCTCATTCCTTTGGTAATTCCAGTGAGAGCAGTGAAATCTCATTGACTGTGGAGTCTCACTTTAACTGTGCAAGTATTGTTCCCTTCCTGTTCCTGAGGTACAGTTTGATTTTTGGTCTTTTCAAATCATTAGCCCTTTTCTGGTCCAGCAAGAAATTGTCGTGAAAACATCACTTCTGCATAAAGCTATAATAACGGAAACAGCTTAAAACCATATAAAAAAATAATTGCTCTAGTATTTAAAAGGTTATTTTAAAGTTTCACTGTATCTAACGTCTGAATGATTTAAAATGTGGTTAATTTTTCTGTAGGCCTTCCAACCAATTAATGGTACTATTGCATCTATTTCTTGGCTTAAAAAAAGAAAACTGAGGGCAATTTCTCCAATTTCATCTTACTATTTCACCAGTATGAAATCTGTTTTTCTGTAATTATTTAAAAAGGCTAGTTGCAGTAGAACCTGCAGAACGTGAAAGCTTCATCTAGTCTGCTGAAACTCAGAATCAGTTTAATTAATTTCAGATATCCTGGACTCTAAATTACTGATAAACTTCCTTTCAGCATTATTGAAACAGACAACAGTCCTTTAATAAATTTATTGAAGCAAAACAAAGTTTTCTGGTGAAAATGTCCATAAGCAGAAGGAAAACCTTATGATCTAAAAGTATAATGTGGAAATTTATAGTTTTCAGTTTCTTTAGGCAAAACTGTTTCTCTTGCTTTGGTCCTTCAACTTGTCTCCTAGCTTAAAAAGATTCTCCCTTTCCTCTACACTATAGTTTTCTAAATTAAGACCAAAATCATTTTTTAAAAGTCATTTGTCAAAATAGTCCTCATGAATAGTGGAGCTTTAGGACAAAAATGCATCTGCCTTTGGATAGGAATGTAAGTGGGAGAGAAAAGGCAGCACGGAGCTGGCTGCAGCCATACACGTTTTGTTTACAACTGAAGAGATTGTCATTGCCAGCTCCTCAGCACTGCCAGCCTAGCCTTCCTTGAGGTCAGCAATATCGTAAATCTGATGGCATAATTACCCATTCAGTTGCCGTTTATGACGTTCCTTAAAATAATCTGAAATATCTTGAAAACGTTACTCATATTTTTTTTCCTAACAATATAATTTTGACTTATGTGAGTGATGTGTGAGGCAGCAATCTTCAGCTAGGAAAACTTGGACCTGTTTTAAATGTACACAGAACAGGGCAAAAACTTTGCAGTTCCTTGTGTGATGTCGTCCACGTTCACAGTAAGGAATGTCATCCCAACACTTCCGTACCGAAGGAGAAGGCATAGCCTGTTTGTGAAATTACTGCTCCTCCCTACTGTTCAAGAAAAGCTAACAAATTGACATGTAGCATATGTAGCTACCAAAGACAACCTCCGAGTAGACAAATAAATTAATAAATAAATATTTAAAAAAAAAAAAAAGTTTAAAAAAACAGGGGGGGGAAGCAATCCTACTTTTACAGCCAGAGATTCTCACTGCTTCACCCTTTCTCACAACCTACATCTCAAAGCAATAATTTGCTTGTTGATTATGAAAAGGTAAAAAGTGGTTCAGCTAGTTGCTGCTTGCACAGCATAGAGGGATTTGAAACAGTTAATGATGCGATGATTCAGTCTGTTTAATTTCCTGTTCCAAGAAGTCTTAATATTTTTTTCTCATTTAATAATGAGTAATTATTACTGCTTCTATTTAAATAAGGTAAGGAGCTAACCAAACCGTATGTATTTTTTTTTTACCTAGGGAAGAGCTACATGTGACAGCAGCTGCCATTTTTTGAGGACATGTCCCATCCTGCCAGATGTCTTTTTCACATAACAGTATATTTTCTTCATCACCACGACAACGCACTTCACTCCAGTAAACAGGAATAAGGCCCAGTCCAGAAAATGGTATGTGTTTTGCTGTACCTTTTTCACTGTAAGGAGATCAGGATAGGACATTATAATAATAATCAGGATAGGACATTAGAGTGGGAGGAGGGGAAGTGGAACATTTTCTCGTATATAAATCTTGGAGTAGAAAAGAAAGCTTTCTTCAGCAGTGTAAATTCATCACATTTTCATACAGTTCAGCATTGTCTTCTGCACAAAGAAAAGTAACAGATGTGACCCAGTTCTCACCATTTTGTTGTGGGATATTTTAGTACAACGGCCTGTGTTGCTGCAGGGCCAGCTACATTCCTGTTCTCCCGGTTCTTAACTACAAAAATCAACAGAGTCCACAGTCCATAGGTGAACCTACAGTACCGTCCCGCTGCAGTTATACTTCCAGGAGAGGTAATGCTAACAGGCCTGTCACCCTTATCCTCTCCTTTACTCCATTAAAATGTACCAGTGCTCTGCCCATACACATGTCATATAATATGGTTGTGACCATGGGACAGCGAAACCACCTCATACTCCATTAGATCAGGTCTGTGTCCATTATTCTCTATTCAGCCATTCCCATCCATCCAGAGCATTTATAAACAGCTTCCTTTCCTTCCCATACTGAATCTACAGCGACAATTACTGAGCCATCTTTTTTTCCATGTAATGCCCAACAAAATTAAATTAAAACCAGAGCCCAAATACTGTAAAATCAAAGGAACAGATAGATGGAAGCACCTGAAAAGCACCAACAATACCTAGTGAGTTCACCTTGTGGGATATAGATCCAAATTTCTGCCAAACATGCATGATAACAGAAACTTTCAACTACTGTTTGCTTGGGCTTTTTGGCCTGGATTCAGATTTCAGCCATTTCTGTTGAAAAGACCAAACCATTCACCTGTATCACTGAACTACTTTTGCTAATAGTGGTCTTGTTCAACTGAAATGTTTAGGGTATGGAAGGCAAAAAGAACTTACATGAAAATGAGGAAAGGAGATATTGCACATAGACAGCTGAAGTCATAAGCAAAATCATGGCCTCCAGATGGCTGAACTTTTATCTCATCTAATCCTCATATTTTTATAAGTTGGCATGGTATGTCCAGATTAGTATTGAACATTATAAAACAGCTTAAATTTAGTTCTGGCTAGCAGTCTTAAATAGGAATGTCACAGTGCAAGTATGCTATAAAAGCCCCTTACTGCTTGTAGCAAACAAAATCACTACTTTGGTATGTGACTGAGAGAAATGTTAGAAAGGCAATAAAGCCAGCCATACTGTGTGGCTTATTGAGAAAGTGCAAACTGAATGGGGTGCTAAAGGGAGATATTCAAGTAATTTGGTTGCTAACTTGAACAGCATTGATTTTTTAGAAGCTGAAATTGCATTTCATTTTTAAAACTCCCTTTTGCTATGGGCATTTTCTTCCTTACCTCAGTTTCCATCTTACTGTTGCAATTGCAGTATCACTATAGGCATTATCTAGAGTTTAATGACCAAATTATGTTAAAAGGTCCTGTTGATTAACTCCATTCTGACAGCACTGGGAAGTAGTGGTCAATGAGGACAATGCAGGGACTTTCAATCTGTCCGATATTACTATAACTCTGTAAAATGTTTCCATGAAAATGTAAAGCTGCAAAACTTGTCTGGTTTCGGGTTTTGTCATCAATGTGCAACTCTGAAAGTAAACCATACAGATTATCTAGCTAGATGAAGATGTGCACAACAAAATTACCACATTTTCCAAAAACCTAGGATGAGTCCCAGATGTTTTTTGGCAGGATAGAATGGATGATTACCAGGGTAACGCCATGCTCCTGAGAACCAGGAATTTTCCTATGATTAGGAGCCCACGTTAGAGTCTAATTCTGGACACATTTATGTTTTTATAGATTCAGTAACCACACTGGAGCTGTTCTTTATTGACACTTACATAAGTGAGATCAGGATCAGACCTCATATTTCTGCCCTTGTGGACATCTCCCGGATGTCTAGTAAAGCAGTTTTTGCTTGCCCTAAGCTTTTCTGACCTGTTCACACTTTTCACTTTGAAAGCAAAGCATCTACCCTGGTCTGCTCCTCTCCAGATCCCATACGCAGCTTTCAGATGAAATACTCATTTTCACAGCAGCCTCTTTGAAGTACAACACAATTGAAGAAAGTGATGGATTCTGGGAAGAACAGCTTCAGCATTCAACAACTTTCAAACAGAAAAAAGCAATCATCAAACACAAAAAGCCCTCAGGATTTGCAAAACAGATTGTCCTTTTTACTGAAACATCATTAATATAAGTTGACTGATTTTTACTCAGACTGAAACTTACCCAAGTGCAAGCTGTCGACATACAACTGTTGCATCATTATTGTCCCAATGGCTCCCACAGATTGTTCCCCAGATTCCATTCAAATAAACCTCCACTGTACCTTCAAACTCATTCTTTCCACCCTGGAGTCTCACTGACCCTAGTTAAAGAAAATAAAAAAAATTAAGCCTCCAAGATATTCCATTGCTCAATTAATGTATCCCACAAAAGACTCCGAACCTCATTTTCCCTCTGCAGAGAGAGTTCCTGTTTCATGTATTGCCATCTTTGTGCTCTTTGGGTGAGCTGCTTCTAAGAAGCACTCTGGCTCATCTAACATTCTTATACAGTGATATACAAAAGGAGATAACCTTATTTTTTTACATGAGGAAAACATTTTGCTTCTTATACTGAAATTACGTCACATTTCTGATCCTTCTGATGCTACAACTTAGTTAAAGATCTAACCAAAAAAAAGCATGTATAGACTACACATAATTATTTCAATGCGGTTACCTCTACCCAAATGAGCAGGAAGTATCTCTATACGAGTGCTATACTTCTATCTTCCACATAATTCCATCCAACTTAAGGGAACCAGAAAACAACCACATGGACTGCACAGCTTTTGCTCTGATCCATGTAACATTATGCATGTCATGGATGTCAGCAATTTATTTTAGCCAAAGAATGCATTTGTTCATACTTGTTCTCAGACAGAAAAACATTGGACGTAGTTCTATTAATTCATGAGAGGCCTTTACCAAATTCTCAGACAAAACAAGCTAAAAATGTGAGGAATCATCTAAAAGAAGGGGGGGGGGGGGGAAGACGGCTTCTTGGCAGCTAAAGAACAAAAAAACCC